TACGAGTCTCAAAAAGTAATCAACATCAAGAGTTTAGACTACAGAAGCTAACTAATGCTAGTCTAGTCTAACTCGTACTCTCTCTCACGAACTGGGCCCACCTGAAAGGGGTTAACAAACAACAAGTAGAAAACAAACCCGTTAGCACGAAGCTAAGTATAACGCCGCTCAACCCTGTAAAATACTACAGTATATACTTTTGGAAAACATATGTTTCACATACTTAGACCGAGTATTCTCAATCACTTAAGCAACAATTAATCATGCTCATCAAGGTTCTTATATGTTTGCAACCTAATTATCAAATTACAATGTAGTATATGTTCATATACTTTCTCAACCTACTGAAACACAAAGAACCAATAACACCTCCACCGAGGCTCGAACTTACAACCTTCCAAATGGAAGTCCAACCCTGGTACCAATAGACCACATAGTCCTGGTACTTAATATGCAATCTAGTGCAATCATATACTCAATATGCAATCTTGTGCAATCATATACTCATTATGCAATCTAGTGCAATCATATACTCAATATGCAATCTCGTGCAATCGTATACTCAATATGCAATCTCGTGCAATCAAATACTCATTATGCAATCTAGTGCAATCATATACTCAATATGCAATCTCGTGCAATCATATACTCATTATGCAATCTAGTGCAATCATATACTCAATATGCAATCTCGTGCAATCATATACTCATTATGCAATCTAGTGCAATCATATACTCAATATACAATCTAGTGCAATCATATACTCAATATGCAATCTTGTGCAATCAACTTGATCATGCAATAAAATGAACATGATGCCATAGTATAAGTATAGATAGGTATGCATATACACTCTTTTGTAAAAACAATACTTTTCTGTGGAGGTTTCTTAGAGTCACAATGACTCGCTTTCTTTCTCTTGAGTCTCTTGACTCGATTTCTTTCTTGCTCAAACTTTCTCATACTTCTCGTTTCTCTTCTTGTGCGAGGCAGGTACTCCACCACAGCGAAACCCTAGCGTATGGTGCAATCTCGTGCATCCACCACATACGTATCTACGGAACCTCTAACTCGTGGGGGAGGTAGGACCTTCACACTCGTGAATGGAACTTTACATGCTCGGCAATCTTGCCGGCTTAATACTCAACTCGCTCACAGAACCACTCTCTTGATTCTTTATCTTTCTTTCTTGCTTACTTTCTCTGTGGAATTAGGTATCGTACTTTTAGTGTGTGCACACCCCATAACCAGGATTCCAAGCCCGGCGGGAAGTCTCCAACCTCGTAACGTGGAAATACGCCGCGTTACATGGTAAATATGTCAGCTCGCAATGTCCATTACTGTTTTGTCAGTTCTATCCAATCTTATCTCTTTTCTTCCGAAAGAAAATAGTCCTAACAGTCCTCCAAAACCTCGGATTACTCACACTAATACATATAAATATAGCTCATGCATTTCAACTCATGCAACACTTTACTTATGCAAACTTATGCATGTAACTTCCCAACAATTTCACAATGCAACAGGATAATGACTTTCCAAGATAGATATGATTTTTTGAAAATGGTACTTAGGCTCACTTTTGCCAATTATGCATTTTAAAACATGGTATGCTCAAATATGCATTTTACTGTAAAATATGCATCAAAACTTCTTTCACTGTGAACTCTCAACAATTACCAAATCATGCTTATAAATCATAACTTGGCAAATCTTCTTGGCAAACACTTAGCAAGTATTTAACATGCACTTGAACTCAACATACTCAACTTATACTCATTCACTGTAATCTAACATTAAAGAAAACATTCTCTGTACACTTTAATATTTCTACACTTGGCAGACAATCTCAACAAATCATATTAGGTATTTAGGCATGCTTATCTAGCAAAACTTATCAAACAATAGTCATACTTCTTAGTCTAACAATTAAACAACTGTCATGCTTCTCAAATAGATAGCTAAGTCTGATACTTCATAACTTCAACCACTGTAAACATACTCAGAACAAGTCATAGCATTCTACTTCACAAATTCAACTGTAAAATACTCATTCCTACTCCAAAATCAATGAAATCAAGTTCTACTCGTGCGTCGTGACAATCCCGAGTGTCCGAGCCTCAAGGGCCCGCGAGCCCCGGTCTGAAACGACACTAACCGATCCACAAGGGCCCGGCCACTGCACAGACCTTGCCTGGCGAGGCATGAGGGTCCTGTCGCCTGGAGCCGCCAAGCGGCGGCCTAGGGACACGGCTCTAGCCTAGAGCCGTGCCCTAGGGCCGCTCCTCCACGGGCCTAGCCAATGGCTCCTCCCTAGGACCGTTGGCTAGCTCCGTGCCTCATCTGGTGCACACTGTGTTATGCACCAGTGAGCTTCGTCTTCACCTGTAAAGAAATTTCAGGCATTCTAACACTCCCAAATCCTCAACAACACGTCATAGATCAACAATAGATCACTTAATTGCTCAAACACATCAATAATCTAACATTTCTATTCATTCTAACATTTATTTAACTTCACAAAGTCTATCAAAAGAGGTGGGAGTCCATGGGTTATACCTTTGTTGCCTCTTCTTCTAGGTGGATTCATTCTCCTTTCTACTCAGTTTTCACCACCTTTACTACATAACCTCCTCAAACAAACCACACCACAACACTTAAGGGAGGAAACCTCAGAGATTTGGAAGCAAGGAATGATAATCTAGGAGAGAAGATGAATGCATGGATAAAAATTGAGGCTAAGAACTCTTACTGTGTTTCTTCCTCTTGTCTACAGAGCTTCTGGGAATGGAGAGGCAAGGGAGAAGATCAGGAAAAAACAAAGCATTAGTGATACTTATATAGGGTCCAAAACCCTAGGATAAATGCCAATGATTGGTTGAGGGCAAAAGGGTAATTTGGCTTGGCTCCTCAAAATATCAGGCATGAGAATGTGGAATCTAGTGGTTCACCAAGCTTCATGGACCAAAGTCTAAAATCATAGTTTAAAAGAGTTTTGGGGTCAAAATGCATTTTCCCAAAAATACTTTCTAGACAACCACTTAGTTTAGGTTACTCAGATTTCTCCCAGTTTCACTCGGATTGATTTTTGGATTGAAAACTTGGTACTCAATGTACCCAAAAATTTAGGATTTTGGATTTAAAATAAATCCCGGTGTTGAATTTACTTTAAAGTGGCTCAAAATAATTTATTCAAACACCCATTCTATCGTAAAAATTTTTATAGCGTGAAAATGGCTATTTTAGGATTTCTTAAAACCGAATTTAGAAAATTATATTTTGGGTTGTCACAAATAGGGACTTGAATACATAGAATACGCCAAGAAGCAACACGATTGGATCCTAAACGCAAACTCTAACATGCCAAGACTCAAGGATAAACACACAACGGTTCAAGAGCATCAAAAACCTCAAGAACATCAAGAAACCAACATGCAAAGCCTTAAAGACAAGCCCTAAACCTTGAATAACACCCGAACATGCATAAACCCACCCACGAACTCCAAGAACATCAAGAACAACAAGATTCACCATATAAACCCTAAGGGCATGCTCTAAACATAATTAAATACAAGAACACGCAAACCACCACACAAGGTCATCAAGATCATCAAGAATAACAAGAATCCAAATCATAAATCCTAAAGACAAGCTCTAGCGAGACATAAATACAAAACCACACATTCAATCATTCAACGGAGCCAATCAATAAAAAATAGCAAGGAAAATAGGTTTTGTAAAACATGGGTTACCTGGTAACTTTAATTAACCTTCTTACAACTTCTAGGGTCTTTCCTAAGATTGGTGACGGGGAATTCCTTGCCTGATCTCTGGGAGGGGATTTTCGAGTATAGGAGGGGGAAATGGTTCTAAAGGTTTCTAATTCCTTTTATATAGATTTAGGAATCCTAATCAGGGTCTAATTAATGATGGACCTTCTTTCCTTATTCTAACGGGCTTGGGGTTTCATTAAGGAAAAGGGTCCACGATCCTCCGTGGACCATATCAATTAATTTAGGGGATTCCGATTGAATTAAATTCTTTTTAACTAATTCTTTAATGGAATTAATTAAATACTTAATCAGAATTTAAAGGGCATGATACCCACGAAGGAGTCCTTCTTCACCATCCCATGAATGGAAAGAATTCTGAGATACTTGCCCATATCAGCAACTCTTAGAACACTGATTGAGTTCATAATGCTTTGTTGTAGGTCGTTAGGGGTATTCTTTGAAAAGAAGATTGAGGACTTTTGGTAATTGACCTTTTGTCCTGAGAAACTGCATAAGACTTCCAATGCTTCCATCATCACGTTGGCTAGCTCCACAATGGCTTCTTCAAAAAGGATTAAGTCATCTGCAAAAAGAATATGGGAAATGTGAGGTCCCTGTCTAGTAATCTTAATACCTTTCCAATCGTCCAATATTCACGAAATGCTCAATGATGTGGCTTTATCTTTCCACACATAAGACAAAGAGTAAGCGTGAGATTGGATCTCCATGTCTAATTCATCTTCCTTGTCTAAACCATTCGGAAGGCTCCTCGTTCCAAGAGATAGCCAGTCTAGAAGTGGAGATGCATGTCATAATGTTTCTTCTCCACTCTTGAGTAAAGACGATGTCTAACAGTGTATCCTCAATGAATCTGCAAGAGATCCTATCATAGGCATTCTCAAGATCCACCTTCAAAATCATCCAACGTGTAGTACCCTTCTTTGTCCTCATAGAGTGTATAACTTCTTGATAGACTAGGATATTATTTGAAATTTTCTTTTCAGGAACAAAACTGGTTTGGTGCGAACCAATCAGTTTCTTCGGAATTCCTTTCAATCTAGTTTCCATCATTTTGGTTAAGAGCTTGTAGGATACGTTGCACAAACCGATTGGTCGTAGTTGCTTAACGGTCTCCGGATTGAGAACTTTTGGGATTAGAGAGATGTAGGTATCATTAAAACCTTTAGTCATCACTAAATTATCAAATAATTGGATCGCAAATTTGGCTAATACTTTGCCAACCGTAGCCCATGATTTTTGGTAAAAACCTGTAGTGATGCCATCCGTCCTGGGAACCTGCATAGGGGCATGTCAAACATCGCATGTTTTACCTCCACTTTGGTGAAAGGATCATTGATCACTTCCCATTCTGCCTCACTCACAGTAGGGAAGTGTCCATGAAAGGATTCCTGAGAGATTGGCCCCGAGTCTTCAGTAAATAGACGGACAAAATATTCTCGAATAAGATTTCTGACTTGCAAGTCATCAATGATCAGCAAACCTTCATCGTTCCTGAGGGCTTTAATTCTCGTTGTATTGTTTTTCACCGTGGTAGCTATGTGGTAGTAATGGGTACTCCGATCTCCAGAAACAATCCAATCTTCTCTAGAGCGTTTGAACCAAATGAGCTCTTCTTGGTAGAGTATCTCGTCTAGTTCTACTCGTAATTTCCTTTCTAACTTGAGCAGGTCGGGCCTTGCATTAATGGTAAGGTTGCGTTGGACACAATTGATCCTGGATATGCGTCTCTTTTTTTGTGGAAAATATTGCCCACAGACCACAGTGTTCCTATTCCATTCATTCAAGGCAACTGCCATGGTTTGTTTATTCAAATCCAGATCTGCATCGTTACTTCACTTTTGTTGTACAAACTGCTGGAAATTCGGATGGACTGGCCATGCCATGTTGAATCTCAACTGTTTGCTTTTGGGAGTAGAAGGGGGAAGGGATTCAGTGTTTATCAAGAGTGGTGTGTGATCCGAACCAATCATAGGAAGGTGATCCACTGTCGCCTCCGGGAATCTGAGTTTCCACTCAATGTTACCTAGAGCGCGGTCAAGCCTAGCACCTTTGAAATAGCTGTATTAACCTCCCTCATCCACGTAAACTTCATACCCGAGAAGCCCAGGTCAATCAAACCCTCCTGGAAAATCCACTCATTGAAATCAGCACACCTTGAGGATAAGAAAGCTTCCTGGTTGCTCACTTCATCAATCTTCATTACTGAGTTGAAGTCCCCAATAGCTAACCAAGGACCCTGAAAATCAAAGTTGAGGTAATTCAAGTCTGTAAATAGCCTTCTACGTAGGCTTATATCTCGACTCCCATAGACAATCGAGAGCAGCCAAGGTTCTGACAGTATATCACAAACCTGCACTATAATCAACTGAGGGTGAGTGTTAACAATACCAATGGAGACAAAGTCCTTCTAAAGGATCCAAATTCCTCCAGAAAAGCCATATGCCTCGACTCTGACCCATTCATGAAATCCAAAACTAAAACATAGTCTATTTGCTTGGTCACCCGAGACTTTGGGTTCAAGCAAGCAAACGATGGCCGGGTTATAATCGCCGAGAGAATTGTTTGAGGATGCGGCCGAAAGATTTCGATGCCGCACCCTGACAATTCCAAATCATACAGATTATATATATATATATATATATATATATATATAGACAATAAAAGAAAGAGCGTTCAAGAGCGCATTGGGCAATCCGCCCCCAGACCATCCAGGTCATTTTGATCGGCTTCAACAGCCATAGCAATATCAAGAGGGTCTACTAGATGAACTATCTCCCTGGTCTGTCAGGTGGGTCGTCAAGGTAAGTTTCTCCAAGGTCAGCCATTGCAGATGACTTTGGCTAGTCATTTGCATGGACCACCACCATGCTAGTTACTTGCTTCCCTTTGTTCGTGCTACGGACGACTGTGTGCTTGAACTCTGTCGTCGCTCTTCTTGGTGCACCTCCTCTCCCCATTCTGTTGGTAAAAGCCCATCGAGAAGCAGGTTGGATATGTCTATTGCTATCAGGACAAGCATTTGGTATGTGAAAGGCCTCCTTGGACAGGTGTTCCCGCTGGTTCTTGGGCGGCTCACGGTTAGTTATGATCCTCATCAGGCCTTCATTTGGGGAGTGATACGTCGTATGCCCCTCGACATTATCCCGGAAAGGCTCCACCTCGTTGCCATCCAGATCAGCCAGGGTGGCGAAACGAGATTGATTGACCATCTTGTGGCTTCGCTACAGGGTTTGAAGTATTAGCCATAGGGTTATTGGTTCTGGTGAATCCACCCTCCTGCCGGTTCTCAACTCTTCTAGGGCTTCTCATCTCCCTTCTAGTAACAAGCATCCAGGAACCAAGCTAGCCGTGGAGACGAAGCCGAGAAGTCCTGTTTTTTTAAATTAATTATTTTATTTAAAATTATTATAAAAATTATTTTTAAAAAACCGCCACGTCAGCAAAGTTTAAGGTAAACAGGTCATTTTGGACCTAATTGCATGAATTTGTGTTGTTCAGGGACCCAATTACATTTTTTTTTTTTATTTCAATGGCCTAATTGCACTTTAGTGTGCAATTGAGTGGCCTATTTGACCATTATTCCTTAAAAATTATACTTTAAATTTGGGTCAAACCATGAAAAGTGTGTAAATTTATAATAACGGCGATTGCTATAATAATCTCAAAATTATACTTTAAATTTGGGTCAAACCATGAAAAGTGTGTAAATTTATAATAACGGCGATTGCTATAATAATCTCAATTACATTAGTTTTTTGAGTATAACTGACTTTGTTACAATGCAGTATCCATTCATAACTACTTTCTCAACCTACTCCACTAAGGCTCGAACCCACAATCTCCCATATGAGAGAGCAACTTGGTGACACTAGACCACAAGGCCCTTGGCATCTCAATTAGAGTTGTTAGAAAACAACAATAAGATTATTATCACTTTGGTATGATTTGGACGAATGCATATTATTACACGTGTGCACACTTGTATTCTGTGCAACATTATTAAGTGCACCTAACGTTATCATTAGTTGCACCAACGTTATAATTAAGTGCACCTATGTGAAAAGATAACTTACTTGCATTATTAAGTGTAAATGATTACACTTTTAAGTGATTTTACTTGCACATTGTACTTGCACACTTGCATATGTTACTTGCACTTTTAACACAAGTTATTTGCACACAAAGCTCCAATTATTTACAAAAATGTCACCACAATTTAAAAAGAAAATTACATTTGATCCGTTGATCTTCTCATATTGACGGCTCAGAGTAGTTCATATTTCTCTCATGGGCGTCCGTTCTCACTGGAGTGCTCTCCAAATGAGAACAGGATTTTCTGTGAGAAGTGTGGACTAATTTGAACTATCCATCTTAAATGATCAATGGCTAGAAAATAAAGATGTTAGGAATATATTGTAAATTTTGATGAGCCGAATGTATTTTTGAAAAATCAAGTAGTCCCCATTTTTATTCTATTTGAGTCAGTTTGAGTCTACGGAGTATGGTGCACCCATATCATGCAACCCATGTACAAGTCTGGAAAATCACAAGTTGATTTTAAATGTTAAGCGGGATTATAGCTTAACACAATTATGATGCGGATAAGTCACCAAGAACCATGTTAGAGGAGTTGGAAGAAACGCGTGTGAGCTATGCCAAATGATCCTAAGTTCGAATCTCAAGTGAAGCATTTTTAAGCTTAGGAGACTAGCTTGGACCGTATGAGAGACTAGCGGACAGTATAACCGTATGGGAGACTAAGACTAGCTTGGACAGTATGGGAGACTAAGACTAGCTTGGACAGTATGGGAGACTAGCTCAAGGTCAAGTATATTGGACCGTATACCGTATGGGAGACTAGCTCAAAGTATACCAAACCGTATGAGAGACTAGCCTAAGTGTATTGGAGACTAGCTAAAAAGGATACTAGCTAAATGGAGACTAGCTAAGAATATAGACTAAGTAAAATGCACAAGTCTCACAAAAGCCATGCACCATATGGAGAAACACACCAAGTATGGTGAACCAAGCTAGAAATTCGAAACAGAGCATCTCACCATGAACAACTGTGAAGTTTTTACAGAGGTTCCAGTATATTATTTTACAAAGATCATGAAGGAGAAAATAACTGATATAGTTTCATCTGAACATCAAGTTTTTACGGTGGAACCGGAGACGCTCAAAGAAGGCTGATTCGCGGAGAAATTATTTTATACTCAAGCAAGAATCAGCAGATAAATTATTTGATCAACTTGACATGTCAGAGTATTTATGAAGGACCAGAAATGTCAAAAATTGCCGCGCCGAACTTATTCAAATTTTGGAGGCTACAAAATTCAAGAAACGGCAACGGGCAAATTATTCAAATCATCTGACAAAAGGAGAAAAGACATCTACCTAACATTTCAGATCAAGTTGACAATATCTTTTGATCAACTACAATTCAAAATGGACGATCAAGATCGAAAGTTGATCAACGGGCAAATAGCTTTTACTAGCTATAAATTGTCCAAGCAGACTTGAAGACAAGAGGATGGACATAGATGAAAAGAGAGCAGTTAAGCAAGAAAAACCCCAAGAGATTGAACAGTTCAACAACTTGAACAACGGCTAAAACATACAAGCAAAAGATACAAGCTATATTTTTTATTAGCCGAAAAAGGGGGAAACAGAGCTTCATAGAATAAAATTCATGTCTGAGTGAGAGAGAAATTTTATTTCTTTGTAATATTCTCTACTGAGTGTAGAAAGAGGGCGGAGTAACTAGAGAGAGTGAAAAACCCTGGTGGAGTATAGCTTTGTGCGTAGCACTCGTGGTGAAGGGCAGAGTAACAAGAGGAGCTTGTGAAAACCCTTGGAGGACGTAGCTTTGTGCGTAGTTCTCGTGGTGTAGGAGTACAGCTTGGTGCGAAGTACTCGGGAAGACGGAGTAACAAGAGGAGCTTGCGAAAAACCTTGGAGGAGTGTAGCTTTGTGCGAAGCACTCGGAGAAGTGTCGGTGGACACTTATTCACTATTGTATCTGGGTGATCGAAGAATAGTGAATTTCCTCCTTGAAGTGAAAGGAGAAGAGTGGACTAGGAGGATTACACCACCTCTGAACCACTATAAATCTCTCTCTCTGTTTACTTACTGCTCATACATTTCATGCATGCTTATTCTAACTGCGAACTAACCCGATTACTATTTATCGCATATCTTTATCTGTCTGGGTTTGATAGTTCCCACGTTTGCATGCAAGCCAAACTTTACATACATCATCTTTGAACCATATCAAGTGTTTCTAACGTGTTGCATGTTTAGAATATCTCTTTGAGCACCGCACTTATAAGCATAACACTTTACCGCTACCTATTCCGCTGCACACTCTAAGTTGTTTATCTTGTTAATGCTTGTTACTTAGAGTTGAAATTACCAAAGTGTTATTTGCCTTGTGTGTTTTCGAAGAAAGTTTGAAAAGTTAGAGAAGTCTATTCACCCCCCCCCCCCCCCCCCTCTAGACTTCTCGCCACCCTTTCGGGACCAACAAAAGAGAAATAAATTGTAGGGTTAGTTTCATATATATTACTCCATACAAACTTTAACAGGGCGTTTGGTTGGAGGGATTTTAAATTCTCTTCCTACTTAATTCCCACCTAATTCCAAAGGTCATTAAATTCCGTAGTTTGGTTGGAGGGAATTGCAATTCCATGGAATTGCAATTCCCCCATTTTCATGGAATTAAAATCCCATGTCCCCCCCTGGGATTTTAATTCCTGGGAAAAAAAAGATAGTGATGAGTCAAAATTACCCCTTC